AAAGTTGGAAATCGACCTGGAGTAAAGTAAACTTTCTTTTAGTTGCAATATTGAGTTTCCTGAGCTTTCTTTCGACTCGTACTTAAACTAGACAGCACATTGTAAATTTCTCATACTTGAAGTAATTTTTCAAAGTTGTCTTAAGTTAATTTGCAACTATTTCACCAACTAAACAAGCAAATGATGAATTCATTGAACATTGGGTATATGGGATGTGTTTATGTAACGAATTAGTAAGACTGAGGTAGCATTTCGATCACCCCGTAATGCAGTCCCTCTCTTATTCAACAATATCATAATTCTGTATTTAATTGAATTCAAATTCAAGTTGAAAAGTACAAAAAATGCTTTGATCATGTCAACCTACTACTACTATAATAACCCCAAATCATCTAAAACCAAACTTAAATTTCTTCTTCACTTCTATAGGGATTTCGAATAGGTATATTATTTATCAAACGACCGCTAAATCTCAACTTAATGGAGCTAATTGGTAATTTATAACGCTCCTCTCACTTTGGGATCAGGTACTGCGATTAAACCATTTGGAGCGTAATGTGTGGTCATATAATAGGTTTAGTTAAGTGTTAATGACTATAACTCCATTAGGGTGAATAACAATATGCCATATTTGGTTCTAATCTGGGGTAGTAAACGGAATTGTTGAAATTATTTGAACGATGGTTAATTAAATAGCTCTTCCACGCCGTTATCGAGCTTCTGATACATAAACCTAAGGGATGTTGCTAGAATAACTAGAATTCCAACCAATTAGGACTAATAATAATAGTAATAAATAAAGAGAGACCTGACGTATAAAACCCTGTGAATGATGAAATGAGGAATACAAATAAGAGCCTTTGTTGGAACATAATTCGGAAATAACATTAGATCCTAGCGTAAAGTCTGAAAGAATACTGCAAATACACCAAGCAAGACAACCAACGAACAAACATTATGATGAAGCTTCTTTCTAACAAAGTTGCGTTTTATGAAAAAATATAACTACATTTACTTAATTTCTGACTCTTAAGTTTTGAAACACAATGAAAATAAATTTAAATTAAAATGTAAAAAAGTTCTTTATTTATTACTCAGAACAAAGGACTTTTTATTTGTAGTTTATTGTTGTAGGTATTATTACAGGATCATATTTTCCTTGCCGTCATAATAAGTTTCTTTGAAATGAAAATAGCTATATAATGTAACAGATCAAAATTGCCTTTAACTATTTCACACTTATTTTAAGTTTTCCAATCAAAATTCCTATACATGGATATTTGATTTTTCCCTGTTTTTATTAGGCTTTGTTTACATTTTTCCTTTATAAAAATTCAAATGTAATGTAAATTTTCTAATCTTTAGATAATATTAAAATTCTATTTTCACTTGTGACTAGTTCTTGTGACGACTAATGATTTTCCTCAATTTTAATCAATACTTTAATATATATAATTATCGGTTTATAACGTTCTACGTCTTCCGATTCCCGATCTCCAACCATCTCTGTCAATCCAGGCATCCTCTTCTAAGCCTCTGTCTCTCATTTTTTCGTCTACTCCACTTCTCCAGCTCCTTCTCGGTCTGCCGCGTCTTCTTCTTCCCCCCGGCTTCCACTCAATTGTTTGCTTGGGTATTCTTGTATCTGCCATTCTTTGTACATGTCCGAACCAAATTAGCTGTTTGTCCTTTATATCATCTACTATTGTGTGTTTTACGTCAATAATCTCCCTTATTCTCAGATTTGTTATCCTTTCCATCTTTGACCTGCCTGCGGATCTCCTCCATAAGTCCATTTCAGTTGCTTCCAGCATGCGGTTCTGTTCTTTAGTGGCCAGACTTCTGAGCTATATGTGACTATGCTTTTGACTATGGTGTTGTATATTCTAGTTTTCTTAGTTTTGTTGATATTTTGGTCCCACAGTACACTATTTAGTAGGGATATTGCCTTGCGCCCTGTATATTCCGGTCTTTAATTGCTTCCATTCCGTATACAAAGTGCTATAACAGCTTTTCTTTAGGGTTTTTACATACGGCCATAAATTCAAGTATACGGCCAACCCTTTTTATCTAAAGGCTACCAGAGCGAGTGCCTATACCTTTTTGTTTGGACGGTTATACTTTTGTTTTGTTGAACCTTACAACTGTTTTGACCATATCAGCTACAACCTGGAACCAGAACCAACCAGGTATATTGAACCTGCTGCCATCACTTGGAACATATTGGTATCATAATAGCTTTAGTTCAAGAACCCATTGTTGTTATTTTAACTTTAATTTTATACATTTTGACCACAATTTCTTTAAGAACCTATTTTTCCTAAATTTTCTTTTCAATAAACGAACTCTATAGCACTTGAATTAATTGAGTGTTTCATGCACTCAGCCAATATTTATTAGAATTATCATTATTATTATTTTTTTATTTTAATAATTCGATCAAGTTGTAAGGACCTGGAGCCAGATAAAATACTGTAGAGTCCGACTCATCTGCCATGAGTCGGTGGCGCCCAAAACATAACCCACGAGCGAGGGTTTAATTTGCTCGTTCTTTAGCCTTTAGTCCTGCAGTCTTGATTATTTATTTATTTTCACTTTAAATTGTTCAACACAGGAAAAGTGTGTCAATAAATTTCATCAAATAAAAAAATCATCATTTTGAAAATAATTTAATAAAGTTACTTCAGTTCAATTAAATTTGATTCCAAATATCTCTCAGCAAATGAGAAGATATAGCAAGGAAATGCACCAGTTTTATCTGTTGTCTGGCTTTTTTCGAGGTAAATTTTTGATTTTTTGTGATTAGCTGGATTTGGGAACCAGAGCAGAAACTAACAAGTACCCTATTAGGGTACTTGCATGGAAAATTAAATTGATTATTGTTTATTGCAAACTGTAGGAAATCGAAAAAAAATCTTTACTTTTTTTTAATTTCGCCCAAATATGATTATTCCGGAAGTTATTCAAATATTAAGTTTTGTATATATAGATATACTGAGCATGTGCAACGCCACTAATTTATTAGATAAGTGACGTCATAGGCAGATTTCATAGTGTTGTATCTGCGTCAATTTTTGACTAAGAAGAAAAAGAAAAAACGCGCGTTGACTTATTTTCCATGGACTATCGAAATCAGCAATAAAAAAATTTGATGCAAGGAGCCTATTCCAAAATGAGAGTCAAGAAATAACATTAATATTGGGACAACCATCCACAAGATGTCATAGTTAGAGTTGAAAAAGGTGAAACTAAAAGTTCGAAACGAACAGAAGGCAAATATCGAAAAAACATAATGTTACCTAATCCAGATGATAGAAAAACTTATACCAACTGTTTATTACTCAGTTTTAAACCAAGAGGAATTCAACATGATTTTATTAACGATAACATAAGAAACAAATTGAAAAAAAAAAAAACATGGGAATATAGACGAAAAAATAAAATATACGAAATATCCTGAGAGATTAACAGGAATAAAGATAGGATGGCGAAAATATAATCATCTATTGGTAAGGAAACTCTAGAAAACTCTTGTTCAAATACAAAGGAACTTACATTGAAGTAGGAAAACAAGCAAACGACCGATATGCCATCGAATATCTACGAAAATACAAATCATGCATTCTCAATGATTCACAGTCAGATGATGAAGAATTGGAAATCGATGAGGCTATATTTGACGATCAGCAGGAGAATGAAAAACCTTGACTCAGAAAACAAAGAACAACAGGATCCTGAACACAAACTGTAAATTTCTACTACTACTACTACTACTACTACTACTACTACTACTACTACTACTACTACTACTACTACTACTACTACTACTACTACTACTACTACTACTACTACTACTACTACTACTACTACTACTACTACTACTACTACTACTACTACTACTACTACTACTACTACTACTACTACTACTACTACTACTACTACTACTACTACTACTACTACTACTACTACTACTACTACTACTACTACTACTACTACTACTACTACTACTACTACTACTACTACTACTACTACTACTACTACTACTACTACTACTACTACTACTACTACTACTACTACTACTACTACTACTACTACTACTACTACTACTACTACTACTACTACTACTACTACTACTACTACTACTACTACTACTACTACTACTACTACTACTACTACTACTACTACTACTACTACTACTACTACTACTACTACTACTACTACTACTACTACTACTACTACTACTACTACTACTACTACTACTACTACTACTACTACTACTACTACTACTACTACTACTACTACTACTACTACTACTACTACTACTACTACTACTACTACTACTACTACTACTACTACTACTACTACTACTACTACTACTACTACTACTACTACTACTACTACTACTACTACTACTACTACTACTACTACTACTACTACTACTACTACTACTACTACTACTACTACTACTACTACTACTACTACTACTACTACTACTACTACTACTACTACTACTACTACTACTACTACTACTACTACTACTACTACTACTACTACTACTACTACTACTACTACTACTACTACTACTACTACTACTACTACTACTACTACTACTACTACTACTACTACTACTACTACTACTACTACTACTACTACTACTACTACTACTACTACTACTACTACTACTACTACTACTACTACTACTACTACTACTACTACTACTACTACTACTACTACTACTACTACTACTACTACTACTACTACTACTACTACTACTACTACTACTACTACTACTACTACTACTACTACTACTACTACTACTACTACTACTACTACTACTACTACTACTACTACTACTACTACTACTACTACTACTACTACTACTACTACTACTACTACTACTACTAGGTGACACTTGAATGTATACAAAATGTGTATCTTATCTTGCCAAACAGGTCGATATTATAATTAGTTTCCTCATTGTATTTTTTTGTTTGTTTCAGGACTAAACGACCATCACTACTAGACGTTGATATTGAAACAAAGCCACAAGGTAATATAAAACTATTCTATCATATCTAATCCATGTTTACGATACTTTGTTTCACATTGCATATTATATTGTATGTGAACGTAATTAAGCAAAGTTTTTTTTTGACATTTTTGGTATTTAGTAAATAAAGGAAATTTCTATTTTATCACCTTAAACCTATTATACCGTCTATATAAAGGAATATAACCTGTACCTTACGAAATGAGTTGACAGAATAAATTGAGAGCCGAAAATGAAATTGTAGGGTTCAAATGTGAATTGGAAACACTTAAACTATCTCCTGCCTTCAAGGTCTCCCTGTAATCCTGTTATGCATAGTAGCAAATCATATTTTCAATCTGATATCGTTGCATAGCTAATTTAGGAAAATTTAATTTTCTCAAACCATGACAAGCCGAAACGGCAAACGCGCCTATATAAAATTAGAGCAACTATTGTCTTTACACCTTGCCTACGTGACATGAAATTTCATAAATTTGTTCGTTAAAGCCAATCAAAAATTAATAAAGTTTTATCAGAGGTGTTACTTTTTTATAACTTAGGGGCGCCTAATGTAAGGGCCCTGAAAACTGAATAATTTTATAACAAAGGAAAATATTTAAATATACCCATGTCTTTTTTAATCATTTAAGTTTTTGTGAAACACTTTCTTACACTCATTCACTTCCCGCACGCTACTAGATTTTTTTTTTTTTTTAACTCGTTCACTGCCCAACGACTCACATATGGGTCGTAAGTCTATTAACATATTAGTCCTGCGAACCATATATGGGTCGCAACTGTATGTTTTTGTATGGGAAGTCGATGAATTAGACGTACCGGTTAGAGCTTTTTCGCGTACAGTGGACTGTAGAGCAAAAAAGCAAAAAAGCTACATCAAGACACTGAACGTGGTAAAAAAAAACAGCATTGGAAAAGCAGAGAAAAACAACTGAATAATATCCAATTAGATTGTGAATTTGAATCCGTAGAAATTACCGTTGGAAAATCATGAATCAGTTGTTTTATGTGATATGCCTCACACACAAAAGTTTTAAAAAACTCTGTTATGAAGATTTTGAAAAACAAACGAAACTTTTGGAAAACAATTCAGTTTTCATATGAATAAGGTTTATCTATGCAAGACGGTAATATTTATTCTTCGGAAATTCCAGTTTTTGTTTTACGAACGTGTGTACTCTGTTTTCAAGATCATCTCATCCCAGCAATCACCAACACGGATTTACGGAAGAGACGGTATTTTGAGGCGTATGGTGGGAGTGATGGCCGACAGGAAGTGTCTGACAGTGATGAATATTGATTTTTAATGGGATTCTAGAAAACATTAGTCATTAGAATTTAAGTGAAGTGAGTATCATTTTGACTTACCTTTGGCACCGGGTACTTGTGAATTGGCCGTCTACCCAACTTAGCACGTAGGCATGCATTCTAACTTCATCTGTTTCCCGAAACCTGTTCTATTTTAGGAATGAACTCTAGCTGCAGAGAGTTTGCTTCATCCTCTGACATATTAATCTGTACCTCATCTACTAGGTAATGGTCTGATGTCGGAACTACGAAATACTCTGCTGGTGTGACCATGTTTGTGATATTTGAATTATTACCACTTTTTTGAAGTGCAGGTTCCTGGGTTGTGTCTCCTTTTACACCTAAAACATAGTTTCATCTCTATTGAAAAGTTATTGGAATGTGTTGCTAACAACTGTTCTTCCTTCTCTGACTTCTGAACATTATGACTACTAATTTTTTTATAGCCAAACTTATTGACTGCACCATATATGTTGCACTTTTCTGCGATTGTTAACTTTTTTGGACTGGAGTACTTTAAGAGGGTCAGGGTGACTTTCAGGGTTATAGGTCTTACTACTTGGCAAAGAAGGAGACAAAATATCATTTGGTACACTCTTAGCATTGGGACCGATTACTGTAAGAAACTTGACACGTTTTTCCCTTTTCTTTCTACATCATTACATGTGAACTATTGATCCATATCTATATGAACTTATATCAGATTGACCTCTAAAGGAAGCGGTTTGATTTTATACCGAAAAACAACATTTTTCATCTTTTCTTTCTGAGACTAAAGTTTTGGCTTCACTGACTCGACTTTCGACTTCGCCAATTACTTCTATGTATTTTAAAGGAACGCATATATTTTTATTGAAAAAAAATTCTAAGCTACCTACCTATGACATTCGATACCATATCGCGTTGGAATGGTATCGCTTCCATTCCATCGACATTATCTGCTATCAAAAAAGACTCACACAGAGACTGGCACGGTTAAATCTATCTATTACTACATTCTTAGTATGTATTAACCTTATCCCTTATAAAATGAACAACTTGATTTATTTTTGGGAGCTAGTTCATCAACCTGTCATTTCGGGTTTATGATAAATGAGACAATCGATTGCAATAAAAATAAGTGGCTTCTAGCAATCAAAATAAAGAAGATTGTGTGCTCACTGGTCCGTTACGATTTCGAATTCGCGTCAGAAAAGGGATGAACTTAGATTTTTGACCCTATAGTGTTATTTCAATTATTATTAGTCTAATAAAATTGATTTGTAAGCACGTATAGAAATTTACTGACCATTCATAAGTTGCATTTACGTAACTAACTGGTTTAGTGGCGCATATCAAATTATTCATTCGCAAACATTGTCATTAGAGAGTCGGAACTAATTGGAAAAAGTTCAATCGGTTCATGTTATCGAAACACAGCAGTATTAAACTATATTTCAAAGTTGTAATAACTGTTTTCATTTCCCGTACGGATATTAATTGTTCGTGATTAAATGTATCCATGAGAATACAATATAACTTCTACTGTTGACTTTAACGTTATGTATACCGTTTTGTGTAAACATTTTATATTATTCAACATACTGCAGAGCCAGAGCTTTTGAGTATTTCTTCCCATTGTAGTCGAGAAGTTGCAAAATGAAGTGAGCATACCTTGCAGGTGGGAATTGTTTACTTCAATTACTCTATTAATCGTTTCAAAAAAGTATTTGATTCCAGATTTGGATACTTCAATTTTGCACTTATTTCTCACTCTCTTCAGGATAGTTTTAGTAGAATGCGACACGCTCCAAATTTTCTCAGTATGTAAAGGATAGTTTTTACTAAAGATTCGCAAATAGTTATTTATGGTACTAGTGTCTTATGTTGAAAATAAGTCAGGCGAGAAAGATTTATACCACGAGGCCGTCATAATAAGGCCGAATAAACCGTTAGCGTTTTCCTTTAATTTCAATATCAATGTGAATTCTGCTTGTAATAGTAATAAATAAATAGAATATTACTTTAAATATGAACGTGAGTTCCATAACTCACTATTGAGTTATGGATTATAACACAATAGTGTGTTATTTGATAATTTACTTGTCTAAAATGATATTAATAATAACAGTCATAACTGTCGTGTGTTGGATAAATAAATTTAATTCTACAGGATGTTTCATAGGCTGATTATTGAATATTTAAAAAAAAAAACTTCATCAAAAAAATCACTTCCACACTGATATATCTACTCTGTATGTCTCAGGGACTTAAATATAGTCGAAAAGATTCGACATTAGATGGCAGGTCGTTTGGGAAAACATAAATCATGCGGAGTGACAGTTTTAACGATAGGTTTTGTGGCATGTCTATATATTTGGTTTATTTTATCGAGAACGATGTTATACCTATATAATTGATTTCATATTTATTTAAAAAAATATTCTGAATTCTGTTGTATCTAAAAGTTGGAATTAGGAATTAAGCAGAAATATCGCCAAAAATTAATATGCACCTTAGAGTATTGAAATATTTAAATTGTTTTGTTCTTTTTAAGCAAAATTGAACCGGGTGCCACTTAAGGGAAATTGCTAGATTAGAAGAGGTTTTCAAAGCCTTATATTTCTAGAAGTCTCAAACATATAATTTATCATCTAAAAAAAAAGTAACTTAATATTTCGGGAAGCAATGACATTCTAACGCCATTGAAACATTTTTTAAAATTTGCATTCAGCACAAATGTGAAATTTTATGGAATTAGAATTACTTACCAAACTCAGTGAAGGAGCTATTCAATTTATATCTACTTTTTTATTTACTTTATTAATAACTTTTATGCCACATCATTACTTTCAAGTATTATTAACACAATTTATTTACATTGCTTATTTGCTTTGTTCAATATTCTTGTTCAGCCAGCTTTTATTTCGGTTGAATGTAGTTGGCAGGTAGCACCATTTGTTTCACAGCCTTCTCTAGCATGATTTCGTCAAATGAATGCCTACAGTTTACAATATTTGAAATGAGATGTATTTTCAATAATAATCAAGATATAAGGATGAATAAAAAAAGTACATATTCGGAAAAGATCAGGCTGCAATTTAGTGTTAAAAACTGTTTCCGATTGTCAGTGGATCACTCCAAAGGATGTCTCAGGCCCACAAAACTGCGAAGATTACTTACTTTCTTCCGTACCTGTATTTGAGAACATGCCATAAAAAACAAAACATTAAAATCAAACGTAGGGCTTAAGAGAACATTACCATTGATGTCAAACTTAGTAGAAATTTTGTATGCTTCTCTAATTTTACCGGTGTTTACCGCGACCAATCTGACTCCTTGGGTTGTTTATCCAAATATTGCCTGACCATAAACCAACGATTCGCAGATCAGTGTAGGTTAGTCGATCGGGCGCCTCCCCAGGTGGCAAATAGGGAAATGCCTCTTAGATATAGGCGGTACCCGGGGAAATCAAATACTAGAGCCGGACCAAAACTAATGCCCGTATTACATCTGTGTATTTTTCCGTGTAATAATTTATTCATGTAGTTAAGGGTGCCAACATTATTTTGTTTTTCATAATGCTGATTTATGTTGCGTTTGAAGTTTTTCGGTTGTCACCCTGAACTACATGATTAAATACGCGGAAAAATACACAGATGTGATACGGGCAAAACAATCGAGCAGTGTCTGATCCAGAATGGGCGGCAGCA